TCTCTCTCTCTCTCTCTCTCTTTCTGCGGAGCCGTCACAGGACCCAAAGAAAAAGGTACCTCTGTCTCTTGGGAGGTCATTTCGTGCAGCCCAGTTCCCCTGCAGTGACCCTGCCGCCCCCAGCCTGGCTCCCGAGCTCCTTCTCAGGAGGGGACAGTGCAGAGGCGACCCAAGCACCTTCTGTGCCCTAAGCACCACGGTCTGCAGGGCCCTGTCCCCGCAGTGCCTCCCCCCAGCTCCTGCCGCTCTGAATGGGCGTATCCCCTTTTCTTAGAGAAGGGCCCTCATTCTCCCCCTGTCTCAACAGTGTTTCCAGGCAGCCCCAGCTGCTCCAGGGACAGGGGGAGGGACAGAAAGTCCACGGGCTGCAGCAGGAGGGTCAGCAGTTGAGAGCCAGCCCAGCAACTTAGCGAGGCCCTAAGCAACTCAGCGAGCCCTTGTGTCTAAATAAAATATTTAAAAAGGTGGGGGGAGCGGTTAAGAGCCTCCGGGCTCCATCCCTGGTGCCAAAAACAGAAGAGTTAAGCCGAGTCCTGGCTGCAGGGGACGGGTGGTCCTGAGAGCTCTGAAGAAGAGCCTTGGACGGTTGTCTCTGGCTTTGTGACCTTGAGCAAGACGCGGACCCTCTCCAAGACCTCGGTTTCTCCACGTGGATGGTTTTGGTGCTGAACCCAGGACCCTCGGACAGACGTCAGGCAGCCGGGTGAGGCCCCGGTTCCAGTGACACAGAACACCTCTCCTTTCGATGTTGCCCGGTGCCGGGGCCCATCCGAGACGGCTGCCACTAGTCACCACGCACGAGCGCTGAACTGGCTCCTCTCGGTGCTGCTCCCACTCCGCCTGCGGCCCGACCTCCTCAGCCCTTCCTGGGGCTCCCTGCCTCCCGCCTCCCCACCTTCTGCCCCAGAGCCTCCCCGGCAGCCGTCCTGCAGGGCCCAGACCACACCCGTCACTGACCTCTACAGCTAGCTGGTGGCCAGGAGCCCTGGTCACTGCCGTCACCACAGTTGTCCATGCCCCAGGGGTCACACACCAGGCTCTGTGGGATGCACCTGCCATTCTGACAGCGGAAGTAGGCTCCACAGGGTCCTGGGGAGAGAGGGGACGGCTGGATGAGGATCCTGGGTCCACAGGGTGTGTGGCCCTGTAGGGAGAGGGGGGTGAGAGCAGAGGGCTGTCAGGAGATCCCAGACAGGAGCATGACAAGGACAGGAGGGGTCAGATGGATGAGGATGAGCCCCTGGTGGTGGCAGCTAACACTGAGGTTCTGTTCTGTGCCAGGCAGGGCTCTAAGCGTCTCACCCCAGCTTACTTAGTCCTCCCAGCAAACCCATAGAGTACATACTGCTGTTGACCCCATTTAAGATAAGAAGACTGAAGCACAGAGAGGTTAAGTCCCCCAACCAAGGTCACAGAGCTTGTATGTAAGTCTGAGGCAAGCTGGTTCTAAATCCTGTGCTAATAAATTAACACCGGCACATGGTGGTGCGGGTGGGTCTGCACACGTGTGCACACACTGTTGAGTTTCTCAGTGAGCCTCACACCCCCAGCAAACCCTTGGGTTTTACACTTGCCTTGCACTTGCCCTCAGCTCCTCCTGGAATTCTCTCTCCTGGCAGCCCCTGACTCATGCTCCTCCCATCACTCAAGTGTGACCTTACCTGTCAGCCTTCCCCATCCTGAGGAAGCCCACCCCCCTCACCACACCCCTCCCTCCCTCCTGATTTGGGGTCCTCTGCAGCACTCGCTGCATCTGCAGAGCAGATTCACTGGCTGATTTGCTTATGGTCTCTCCCCACCCAGGTCAGTTGCTGGGGCAGGGAGCTACTTTTTTGTTCACTGCTCTATCCCTAAAGCCGAGGGCAGCCCGCAGCACACAGCAGGTGCTCAGCTAATACTCATTAATGAACAAACGTGCGCACGGGAGAGAACGGTGTGACTCCCTGCGCAGGGTCAGGCAGCCAGGCTGGCACACCTGGCATCCCGTGCCCTGGACGAAGCTAGCTCACCTGGGACTGACCATCACCACGCTCAGCCGTGCACATGGGACCTGGGCCTGGCCAATCAGAGCATTCCATTTTCTGGCTGCATCAATGGACACATGCCCCATGATCAGATTTGGCCTCAGGACTTTTGCTAGAACTGTAAGAAAACTCACTCGCTCTCTATTTCCCGAGGGTGGAGCTGTAAGGGTGACTGTGGACTTGAAGCTACAGGGTCACTTTGTTGCCAAGTCAAAGAGGAGCTGCCTGAGATGGAAACCTCACAGACTCACACCGTGCACCCACAGATGGACGGAGAAAAGGAATGCAGAGACAGCGCTTGAACTCCTGGATCCAGCTAGACCTGAGCCAATTCCTTAATACCCTGGTGTTTGGAGCCCCTCCCAAACGCTGAAGAGCTGTGACTTTCTTGGCGTGAGGCCACAGAAGTGAGAGAGGAGGGGGCAGCCGATGTCCTCCCCAGCGCAGGAGAGTTGTAACAGGACAGGAGCTTTGGCATCTAGAGCCGACAGGACCCAGAGAGGGGCCCTCTAGACGCTATTAGTCATGGCCCCGGGGATCTAGGGTACTTTATGAAGTTGCTGGGCGAGGTGGCACGGGCCTGTAATTCCAGCAGCTCTGGAAGCTGAGACACAAGGATCACAAGTTTAGGGACAGCCTCAGCAACTTAACAAGGCCCTCAGCAACTCAGTGAGAACCTGCCTCTAAATAAAAAATATAAAGGGCTGAGGATGTGGCTCATTGGTTGAGCGCCCCTGGGTTCAATCCCTGGTACAAATATATGTTTCTCATATAGTTTATCCCAGAGCCAGCAACTGTGGTAGCAAAGGGGGTCTAAAATCCGAAATTCAGAGCATGCGCAATTCCAGGGAGGAAGAAAGGAGACATTTGACTAAGGGGACAAATGAGACAGCGTGGGTGGGCGTGTTCCCACCAGCTCGCTGTGACAGGGCTGCCCAGGGCCCACTGTCAAGGCCTGGTTCTTCCTGACCCTGTGCTGGCACGAAAGTGCTCACCGTCCTGTTAGTCCTCTCACTGGGGATTTCCTGGGAATGGCCACAAAGCTTCCAGGCTTTGGGAGCTGATCTGCTCACCATCACTGCAGATGATGGGGCATCAGCAGGTGGCTGCAGTCCTAGGAGAACTGGCCAGGGTTCAGTTTAAACTGAAGAACATCTTCTAGCATGAAAGGTCAGCAGCTTGACTTGTGGGTGGGGAGGTCTCGGGCACCCAACCTTCTGGGCCAATTCCCACCTATGATGTGAGGGTAACAGTTCTGGCCAGAAGCCAGGTGCAGTGGCACGTGCCTGTAATCCCTGGGCCTGGGGAGGCTGTAGCAGGAGGATCTCAAGTTTGAGGCTAACCTCCACAAGGTAGTGAGAACATCTCAAAAATT